TGAATGAAGAAAAAAATTGTGAATACAAGAAATACGGCACGCATAAGTTCCAGTATTACGGCACGCATAAGAATTTCCAGTATTACGGCACGAATAAAAACTGAAATACTCGCATTTGACACTAAAACTCATTTTAAGAGATGCAGTAGTTCCACAGAAAAAAAACAAGGTATTGATCAAATATCCCAATTTTGATTTTATATAGGTTATTGTCCAAGACAGCACCATTTCCAAAGCATAATAACCTGAATCATTTTGCATTCAAACACAAGAAACTGTTTGATGTTATTACCACTAATTTATACCTGATTTGATTGTAGTGAGAAAATTAAACTGAAATCTGAATAACGAGGTGCAAATTTATACAACTGAAACATAAATTGAGTGCACAAATTAAAAAAATGATTCAAAGGAGAGGTTTTAATGTTATAATAATTATCCTAATTATGACCATGCTTTACCTTTTTTGTTCAATTGTTTTTGCTAATTTGATTGTCGAAACTCGCACATTCTACCTCGACTAAAAACGGCACAAATATATACCAATTGCATTGAAAGTAGCCCTGTAACTATGATCAATCCTTTCAAAGCCCCGTATTTGTCATCAAAACTTCAGCGAGAGCTATATAACTTACTATATTTTCAAGTGCACAAACGGAATTGATACTATTTAATATGATTTCAACAAAAAATCTGTTGTTTGAACTTAAGTGAATTGGCAAACTCTCAGTTTTGGCATGGTTTGCCAATTTGCGTTCTGATAAAAATTACTTACTGCCTTGCAACTGCACTCTTGATTCCCAACTACTGCTTCAAGAGCGCTATAAGTACGTTTTTAAACTATGTATTTATTTAAGTATAACTTTAACTGTTAGAACCCAACTTCACCTGATTTTTACGCTGCTTCTTCTCGGTCACTTAAAAACTCCAACTTCTGATCGAGGAATAGTAAACAAAATACTCGTCCCCTGGTGAAGTAAAGTAACATCGCGTTAAATTAAATCAATTGCAGAATCAAAATTTTGGTCATACAAAATTGTTTTTTACAAATTTAGCAAAAAAACGTTCAGACCTAAAAAAACGTATGGGCAAAATTGATTAACAGACATTAGTTTCTTTTTGTTGGAAACTCGATTCAATGAGTCAAACGACCAATTTTTCTTTGATTCCTGATATTGAGAAAAACATTGCTTTTTGAAGTGATAGATCTGTAGAAACTAGCATAAAATCAGCAAATACCGGGGTTATGCCCCCTTTGCCCGAAACACTCGACAAAATCTTTGAGAGCATCTGAACTTTCTGCCAAAAATTTACAATAATAATTGGATAGAATCTAAAACCAAGTCTAAGAAACGCTAGAGACATATTTTTGAAAATTTTAAAAAAATCCGTACAAAACGAATAAAGTTTTGTTTTTTTGATGATGCTACTGAGTCTATAAACTCAAATTTTTTTAGTGGATTAGATCACAAGAGGAAGGATTTTAATGGAGTTGATAAAGAGACATGATACCGTTCCTGCCGGTAAGATCTTGACTTGAACTGAGCCCTCAGAAGCTTCAAAGAGTAATTTTTTCACGACTTTGTAGAAAATACGACCCTGAACTGCACGAAAACTACAAACCAATTCAATAAAAGGTGCAATATCTGGAGTGTTCGTTTTTTATACAATCAATTAAATGAATACTAGTCATCACAAAACCTTCTAACTAACACTCAGTTCGGTTTCCAAAACTCCTATTGAACAATTGACACAATTTCCTTTTGCGCCAATTCATTTGAAAGTTGATTGATAGCAGTACAAGAGTTGTTTGCTCATTTTTAAACTTTTCGAAAGCACTCCACTCTAGTGATCAACAATTCTTGCTGCATAAATTTAGAGTTTTTAGCTTTTCTGAAAATCTAGTGATATCTTTCGGAAAACAACATAACTGGGCTATTAAATTATGCTGCGCTCACAAAACTTCGTCATCTGATTTATAATTGACTTATATTGTGTTGCCGATACCCATGTTCCTTGATTGGAAACTCACATACTATTTCTGGATAATAGGAAAAAAAACTAATTACCCCTTTACTTAGAAAAAAAATATGTAGAACTACCATATCGACAAAATGCAAAAAACCTAAAAATTATACTTTGTAGAAAGATGTTATAGACAATACATACATAAATCTTTGTTCATTAACCATATAAATCACAACTTAAAATAAAAAAGTTAAATAGTGTGATGCCTTGTTTCATTAATATCTGACACAAACTTGCATACTTGAAAATGTTTATTTTTTCATTGTTTTTTTTATAATTTGATAGAAAAATATCAGATTGATGCAACTGAAACTTAATTCCAAATGAACGCAAAAAAGGGAAAAAAGCACAACAAAGAGCGCATCCTTGTTGCGGAATCCGCTTACATTTCATGAAATACACAGTTTGGCCTCGTCATGTAGCGCGCGGTGACGGATCTAGACATTGCTTAAAATTAAGGTTATTACTTGGGGTGAAAACGTATCACTCCGTTTGAAATTGGGTCCGAGATGCAAATAGGGACCCTAAAGAGGTAAGACGAGGTTCTGTTCTGAATAAAACCGGCGCAATCGCAGCCGCTTCTGTGGTCAGCTTTTTGAGAAGACGGAAGAGACATTGGCAGGACTATATATAGAGTCAGATTATATAGAGCTTTCAATCCCTCAAATGATTTCAAGCAAATTAATTTCTTGGAAATTTGATAAATGATAAATGCTATTTGATGGGAAATCTGCAGTATCAGAAAACTTAGACAGGACAATGTGACACTGAGGCTTCCTGTAAAATAACGAAAACTCTCTTTAGAAGAGAACATTCGTTACGGAGCTCAGAAAGCAAGAACAAGTTTTCGTTAAAATGAAAAGGCTATCTTTCATAGGAAATTGAGACAAGTTTTTAAATATAAAAGAACATCACAGTTAAATACCTGAAAGCTTCCGATGGTCTAAAATTCAAATATGAAACACTTACAGAATCTGCTGCTAAGTTGCCTTGAAATAAAAATTCAAAGCATGCAGAAAACTAAAAAGTTTGTAAGTGTAAATCAAGGTTCTTTTTCAGCTGCTTTTTTGATGGAATAGACAATTTTAATAAATAAAAAGCAAAAGTAAACTTCTAGTATTGATGCACACGCGCTGAAGTATCATGAATAATAATCGACTTTATTGGATTTTCATTGTCAGTCTCTATAGAACAACCAAAATTATCGATTATAATCGATTGAAAATTGATTTTAATGATACTACTTCTTAAGCGATAAAATTCCAATATAATCGATGATAATCAATTATTTTCAACCTAATTTCAAAAAATTGTATCAAACGAAAAATCTATCAAAATTTTTGTCTATTTATTTGAAGCTTTTTGTATGTTGTTTTCATTTTTTCATAAAATTGTTAAACTTAAGTTAGTTATTCTCTCACTAAATTTCATTTTCCCTATTTTCTATCGAGTCTGTGAAAATTTACAAAAAGTTATCAATAGATCCCACACCTATAGTGGTAGGGGTGTTTAGTGGGGGTATGGTAAACGCGTGGGTAGGGGGTGGTTTGTGTTTAATCGCGCAGAAGGAGGGAGATGAGGGGGGTTGTACGTGGGGGAAGGGGGTAGGGGTACGTGGGGGATGGAATGTATGTGGGAGGATGGTACGACGTGGATGTGTACATGGGGGGAGGGGGGAGGTGATACGTGGGTTAGGATATGGGGGCATAGGGGGTGGACGTGGGAGGTGGGAGAGGGACTGGAAATTTCGTCAAAAGAAAACTGGATAAAAAAGCCGTTTTTGGGCACTTTTTGGAAAATTTTAGATATTGGCCTCTTCAAAATTACTTTAATTTGACCGCCCTTGGATGAACGTATTCGTTCAAGTTTTGCAAAAAATTGTACAAAATAGTGTAATTAGCTACAAAGTTTAATCCATTTTCCTGGATTTTTTGTACAAAAAATAATCCATTTTATTGAAAACAAAAATGAAATGGATATCAAACGATTATAATGGATTTTGATAGACTTTTGTTTTTGAAATTAATAGATGAAAATGGATTAAAAATCCATCATTTTGTCCAAATTTGCCATGATAATCGATTATATAGACAACACTTATGTCCAAAAATATCCATTATGATCCATTTTTTTTCAAGGTGGGCAGTAAATTATTGCTCTTACTGCGAATTTGTTGCATAAAATCTCGCTACATAGTTTTCTTTTATCACTTCTTTTTACCGGCACAAAAAAATCTAAATTTTGCTTAAAACGGGAATCGAGATTGCTAAAAATACAAAGTGTTTAAAATGCAAAATGTGCTATCAAATGTTTCGGAAACTAAGCCCATCGTTAATTAATAAAATTGTTATGAAAAAGATAACAGATGTTAAACAGCTTGGGTGGAAAGGCAATTAAAAGAACCTCAAGAAAAAATGACTTACAGACCGATCATTTTTAAGCGTTATAACCTGTTAGCTTCGTGATAAGTATCTTATTTTACGTTTCAAAGATTTTGGTTATTTTGGTTCACATTTCCTGCTTTGAACTTTTAAAATTGAGAATTATTCGATACAAAATGTATATTTTTTAACTTCTGAGCCCAACATATGTGTTGACCGAAATTGAAGTTTATTTATAAGGAAGCTAAATCGTTATAATGCTTAAATATGATCGGTGTGTAATTTCTAAATTTTTGAGATCCTTTAAATTACCTTTCATTCAGTGGTCTCAAGAAAAATCAACATTTAAACACCAATCATATTTAAGCGTTATAACGTCGACCAAAAATGGATGAGCTAAATAGTACAAGGGAATGGACCCTTTGAGATGAGAGCATGCCCCTAAATCTAATACTGCTAAAATTACTGATTCCAAAAGCGGCGCATCTCGAGTTTTAGTAATTGGACCATGGATTGTCAAAAAATTTGCGGAGAAAAAGAAGTTTAATTATTTCGCTTTTTTCAATAAAGCATCTTTCTTGAATTTCTGAATTAAACAGCGTGTTTTGGAACTGCTAGTGAGTTTTTGTTCTTTGAACTTGTCCATAGTTCATCTCCCGTCTTTGTGAAGTTGTGCACCAGAAACTGAAATGAATCAAATGGCCAAACAAAATTTTTTCGATCCTTTGTTTTCTTGGTAAAATAGTCGATGAAATTAAATTCAAAGCTAAAAACAAACTTCTAGTATTGATGAAGTAAACTAGTATGTAGTTTGCTCTTACTAAAAAGTTATTGCATAACTGCTAATCCTACATACCTTAACTTATCGATCTTTCTTTTAACAATGCCTCTTTTACCGACGCCAAAACCTGACTGAAACTGCCGCAATTCACATTTGTATGTTTTAATGTAAAATTAAATTAGCCCGTGGGTCTTGAAATTCATATATTGAAGCATCAAATGATTTTTTCAGTCGTGATTCGGGATGCAATTTCAAGAATAGGTTGAATGATCAGTCTGATATAAGATTATTAAAAAAGCAATATATTAAGCTATTTTATTATCCGAACAAAAATGCTACCCGAACAAAAAAAAACTATTTTATTAGTCCGATAGATTTATCTGGTGAACTGGATAACACCATCAGTTTTTTTAAATTTTTTTTGAGTTTTTTTTCCATATAATACCAAAAATCATTAAATTATAGACAAAAACCTGGTAGCGTTTTTTGCCTTACCTGTATTCGTTGATCCATGTCATAATTTCCTCTCATTTTCTTTGCATCCGAGAGGTACCCCGAAATCTCCTCCCCTTCAACTATTTTGTTCTCTTCATTCGCTCTCGGGTCTTTACTCTCTACTTTTTGAATAAAAACATATGCTAGTTCAATACACGCATACGCTTGTACCAATTTCAATCTTTTGTGACATAGCTTCGCTTCTTTTGCAACTAGTAACGCTTTTTCTGCATCATCAAAATTGTTCAGGTATCGGTGAACTGAACCTTGCAAAAATTGAGACAAAGAGTCAAAGTCTCGATCGCCTTCCATTGATTTCAAACATGGCATCACTTTTTTCTGAAGGTTTTCCTGGGTAAAAGCACGCGGGAAAAATCCCCAGTGGAATGTGCATTCGTAAAGAAGTATTTCACACACTTTATGGACGAGGTCTTTATCAGATATGTATCTGTCATTTTTGGTTTTCGCTTTGCTCTGTAATTGTAATGTTTCGAGGATCAGACACGCCCGAGATTGGCAGAACATTTCTTGTTGGTTTCCAGAACTGAAAACTAAGAGTGTTTATTTGGTTTCCAACTCGAAAGAAAAAATGAACGAAGATTAAATAGAACATAGAAACAAACGGCAAACAAACTTACTTCAATACTTTCCTAAAAAAAATTGGAATTAATAAAACGCACTTTGTGAGTTTTCATTACAAAAAATCAAAGAATGACAAAAAATGTGCAGAGAGAATTCAGAAAATCAAAGAAAATAAAGAAAAGGATATTCAAAAAACTGTAAAGGCTAGGCTTTGTGACAGAAACCTTTTTCTGATAGTTTTTTTTTATTTTTGTCATTATAGACAGATTTGCTCCTAAGATTTACTTTTTTTGCGTCGCCCAAACTTATCTTTCAAATTTTTTGAAAAAAAAAATTCGAAAGGGGTCGATTTTTTGAAACTGGTGGGTGTGGTGAACTCACTTGACTTTAGCTTTTTTCAGTTCATTGACCTTCTTCAAGAAGTCAGCCAGCTCACTGTTGGGACTGTCGTTGTTCATGCGCACCCCTTGGGTCAGCAGAGCGGGGTAGAAATTCTTCAGTTTGCTCCACCGGCTCAACTCATGCAGCTCCATCAGCATCTTTCCGGCCGAGGCGAACTTCATCTGGGCCATTTTGCACCAGCTTATATCGTGCTTCAGAATCTAAGAAAAAAATTTACGATCTTAAGCTTTGCCAGAAAGCGGAGATTGATTTTACCTGCTTAATATCTACTCAGTGTCGAAAAATATTGTGTTTTGAGTCCAGAATCGATCTTTCGCCCAAAAATGCCGAAGTTCGAATGTGGAGAATTTAAAATAAAAAACTGGGGGATTTTTTTCTTATGGGGTTTTAGTCCTGGGATATTTTATCAAGTTGGATTTTATCCTGGGGGATTTATTCCGCCAGCGGCCGAACTCAATTCTGTCAACTTTTTTCAAAAGTTGAATCTCAGATGCTGGTATTTTTTTCTTTTTTGAACTGTTTTTATTAGTTTTCGAATTGTTGTAAGTTTTAAATATTGTCCAGAATTGATTTGGTTCTCACCTGGTTCAGTTCCTTCATCCACTCTTTCTTTCCATGTTCATCCAGCACCTTCTCAATGATCTTGATGCAGTCCTCTATCCTGCCAGCATTCCTCGCTATCCGCATCTTGATGAAGGCGAACAGCACACAGTGGTCCAGATCACCCGCCGGCACATCACTCGTGTTACACGTGGCGGTGTCATCACTACCACCACGACTACCACTATCGCCTAAATTGACTTCTGATTTTGAAAGATGAAAGAAACTATATAAACTCATTTTTCTATTAGGCCATGGACATTGCAGAAGCAATACTACTCTGAAACCATAATATTCACCTGAAAGTGAACCTTAGTTACAAACAGAATGAGATACGTGTTTTCTCGGTATCAGGCAAATCTGCCTTTACCAGTTCTGAGCCTGGACCTTTCATCTTTTGTTTCGACTTTGTATCTATCATATTCTTTTTACATCACATTTAAATCCAACTGAGACAGCAAAACTCAAGATCGGATGTTCTCAAAAACCATAATTATCGCATCGACTGACTCAAGCGGCAGAATA